GTAACGAAGGGATCGAAACGGTGTGTGTTAAGTTACTAAATTGTAAAGACCTAGAATATATTGTATCGATTTACTGTCCTTCGTCTATACGTACGCAACAAAATGATTGGAACGATCTTTTTTCTCATTTTGTTAATAGAACCATAATAGCGGGAGACTTTAACGGCCACCACACTAATTGGTCAGGGAAATCGGATGTGAGGGGTATCCAAATTATGGAGTCAGCTGTAGAAAATAACTTTATATCAGTCAATAACGGTGCGGCAACCCGGGTTAAGTTGGTTAATGGAAGCTTTCAAGAAACTTCTCCCGATGTAACGTTTTGCTCATCTGATATTGCAATAAAATGTGAGTGGAAAGTGTTTAATGAAAATCTAGTCAGTGATCACCTTATCATTAAAATCTCGGTTAATTTTGTTTTCACCATATACAACATTAAAAAGCGCAATTTTAAAAACGCCGATTGGAGTCAATATAGTCAATCGGTTTTTGAAAAAAATTATGGTAGAGGATATAAAATCATATACTGTCGATGTTCAGAAAAAGTATAATTTCTTTGTAAATTCAATTGAATACGCAGCTGAGAAACATATACCGTATATCAATCTAAGATTGAAACCAGATGAAAAATTTAAACCCAAAAATTATTGGACGCCCCAATTATCTAAAATAGTTGCCCAGCGAAGGTTAGCTTTAAAAAAAATTCGTAAAAACCCCACGCCAGAAAATTTAAATGAAATAGAATCTAAGACTTCAGAGTCCCAAAGACTTATTAGAAATGCTAAGTTAATTAGTTGGCAAAAATTTTGTAATTCTTTTGATGAAGTTTTATCTGTACCGGAGATGTGGCGTCGTATGAAGTGGATGAAAGGCTATAAGCAAAAAAGGGAGTGCCCTCCCATTGAAAAACGAAACGATCTACTTAGATCGCTAACTCCAGATTATGTAACTAATTTACCTCCGTGTTTTAAATGTAAGAATCCTATTTTAGAATCTCAATTTAATAGACAAGAATTTGAATGTTGCCTCAAAAGGAAGGATTCAGCTCCGGGACAAGATGGTATATCCTATTCCATGATATACAATCTCCCTGGCATAGCAAAACTCTTTCTTCTAAGGATATATAATAACATTTTCCGTTTCGGTGTTATCCCTTATCAATGGAGAACTATTCAAATCATACCTATACCAAAAAATTTAAATAACATAGGGTGTAATAGTGAAATTAAATTAAGACCTATATCATTAATGTCATGTGTGTGCAAAATATTTCATAAAATGCTGTGTAAACGATTTGAATGGTATGTAGAAAATAATAAATTTCTATCTCCATATACAGTTGGATTTAGGAAATCATATTCGTGTTTAGACGCATTATCTCGTCTTGTATCTCACATTCAAAATGGATTTACAAAAAACATTCCTACAGTTGCATGTTTTTTAGACATTGAAAACGCCTATAATAATGTAACAATTGAATCTGTTATAAAAATAATAGATGAACTACAGATTGGGTCTAAGTTCTGTGCGTATCTCTGGTCTTTTATGAATGAAAGACATTTATATATCAAGTTTAGTACGGAAGAAAGTGAATGTAGGTGGACCAATAGAAGTCTGGCACAAGGAGATCCACTGTCACCTTTATTGTTTAATCTAGTTACGTACAAAATATGTGTTCAGATTAGTAACGTTATGATATGACAATATGCAGACGATTTTGTTTTCTTCATTAGTGACAAACAAATAAATAAATGCGAACGTTATTTGCAGGAAGCCCTAACGCATTTAAGCTTATTACTAGATGAGATTGGATTGACTCTATCTCCAAATAAGTCAAATTTTTGTATTTTCAGCAGGGGAAGAAGGAGAATAGTGCCTAGTTTGAAAATATATAACCAGCAGTTGACTAGGGTAGAACATATTAAATATTTAGGAATGTGGTTGGATCGAAGCTTACTTTGGCAAAAAACATATTAATGAAACAGTTAAAAAATGTTCAAAATATTTAAACATACTTAAAATATTAACTGGTAGCTCCTGGGGAATGCATACTAAACATTTGCGGAAAATATATATTTCAGTAATAAGAAGTAGAATAGATTACGGTTGCTACTTGTATGACTCTAGTAGCAGGATACATACTTCTAAACTTGATAAGATACAAAACCAAGCTCTTAGGATAGTAGGTGGTTTTATAAAAAGCAGCCCAATCCATGTGATGGAAAGCGAATTGTATTTACCTCCATTGTTAATAAGACGTCAATCCCTAGCTTATAATTCCTAAATATAATATATAAGCTCAAAACTAATGTCATGGTCTAATAATGTAAATTTAAATACAATTGCAGAATTGGGCACACATATACATAATAGATATTGGAGAAATAAAAAGAAACCCTTACTTGCTACTATATACAATGAAATAAACCAGCTCCAAATTGTTTCATCAGATATCCATAATATGTTTAATTTAGATACATGGATATCAAATGTTCATCCTATTGTGAGGTATGCAATAAAATTGAAGATGTGTATCATATGCTGATGGACTGTGAAAGGAACAGAAATAAAAGGGAACTGCTGTTTAAAGATCTGAATGTAAATTTATTAGATGTTGGTCTTATATTTAATATATTGTCGAATCCCAAAAATGAAACAATAAAAAGTATTTGCAGTCTTGTTCAAATCAACAAACAGTAATTCCCGGTTTAACAAATCTATATACTTTTAAGGATTCGTATTTCCTAAGTTATTGTGAGTTATATAATGTATAAGTTACGATGGGGTTGGCGTATCTTTATTGATTTTTTATCAATAAAGATACGCCAACCCCATAAAAATAAAGATAATAAAAAAAAAAAAAACTTCTTTAGGCGCGACTAGGGAGTAACTCAGATTTTTTTTCTAACGGGAGTAACGCTTTTTCTGACGGAAGTAACGTCATAAGTGTATGTCATATTTTAATATTAATATAACATTTGAATAATATTTGTAAAGCACATGAATAATAAATATAATTAAATTATAATATGATATTTATTATTTAATTTAATATTTAATCATTTCAGTGATATATGCCGTCAACGCCAAAGAAGTTTTACTTAAATCGCGCGTAAAGGTTACACGCACACACTTTTTTTATGTTTGTTACCTTAGAACTTTCGAATGGGTGAACCCATTTTGATGATTCTTTTTTTTATTTGAAAGCTGGTGCTTCTCATGAGGTCCCTTTTTTGGTCTTAATTTTATTGGTATTGGATCTTAGGCTCCAGAGATACATGAAAAAGTCCTGAAAATCAGTTATAAAATGAATATAGAGTGTGATATTTTAGGTCAGTTTTGCTTTTCGTTAATGAAAATGGACTTGTCAATTATTGGTTTGGGTTAAGATTAAACGTCGTTCCTATGATTTTTTTATAATTTAAAACGGAAAATTGTCGAAATATTAAGGAGGTAACGTTCATCATCGTTTGCAGAAAGTTCGTCTCCATTTATTGAAAGTTACATTAACTTTGATAAGGCCATGCAACAGCTGTTGCACTAATGAGCAGGTCCGCCCGGGTAAGTATCGCGAACGCACAGAAGACCGGAGCGAAGTGGAAGTTTTATATTTCTTTTCGTTTCGTCTGGTGAGTGAGGTTGCCGGGACCCACTCCATTATAAGGTGACAACGCATCTGCAATCCTACGGTTAAGGTTATATTAGGTGAACTAGCTCGCTTGCCACCTCACGTAAAAAGATATAACAATATTCGATACAAGTGTCTTTGATGTTACTTATGATCGTTTCGCTCTCAGCTTGCGTTTGGTACATAGGCTGAAAACAAACATTTCAAAAACATTGCCCTCACTTTAGCATAACATTATCAAAAGTAAAAATCCTGCGTAAAGCATCATTTCATTTAGTATAATATTTTAAACAATGTTTAGCTAAGTATTTGGACTTCATTATAGAAATACATTATTAAATTTTAGTATCAATCGTAAGTGATGGGGTTTCTCTTCTTACAAGTTTGAAACCATTGTGTCATATTTCTTCAAACTGAAGCAAAGCATTTTCTCTTTTTCCTCGTCAACATTGTATTTATTTACGATCAATAAATTATTCAATTATTACAACGGTATTCTAGTATCATTCAGAAAAGTCTCAATAGCTTATTCTTCAATAAACGATCTAATCAGATAACTTGTCATATTTATAAAATGAAAAACAACTCATTACGAAACAAAAATATGAAGTGAAAGCTACACGACAAAATCAAATGTCATATATTTTCATTGTATGTCTCATTAAAATCGATCCAATTAGTTACCTATGATGAAAATAGGCTAATAATCTACATAACACGTAAATGAAACGAGATGAAGCTTAGACACATTAAAACACAAACACATTTAAAGTAGTAACCTTTAAATAAAAGCAAAAAAACAAAACTAATACTATGATAACGAAGAATACCGTCTATTCTTGGTTCTTTAATTGATTTGATTAGACATGTAATATGTCTTATATGTGTTATCACCATTTAAAAATTATTTTACATAATAATATAATTTTTGGGGTTTACATCAATATTATTGTTCTATAACTATATTGAAAATCAGTGATATTTTTTGTGTGAAAGGTTTGCAACCTAGCAGGTAGTTCACATGATGTTAAGTGCTACCTTTGGACATGTCCTCGATTACTTCACTAACCAGACGAAACCAAAAATTTAAACTTTGACCTTCTGTGAGGCCTTGGCCGTCGACTTTCCCCTAGACGAGCATGTCCATTCATACAACATCCGAAGCTATCTAGTGGTTTCTCAACTGAACTGAAAATGCCGCAATAAAAAAACTATCTCTCCCTTCTATTAATGCCATGTTAGTTACGCCATAGTTATTTAGTTACGCTGAACAAATCAAATTCATTTACAAATAACATACACAGAAGGCTATGCCCACCAAATTAGATCAATTCCACGACCTAAGATCGCAACTCGATCGAAGTATAAGTTACACGTGCATACACAAGTGAAATGGGAGACTACTCACATCGTAGCTCCAGGTGCAAGAGACGCCGGCGAACTTGGCCACGCAGCGGCCCAGCTCCACGTCCTCGTGCGTGGTGTACAGGTGCTTCAGGCAGTACTTGACGTGGGGGGCGACCCTGCGCAGGGTCTCGCGCGAGATCAGCACCCCCGGCCCGCCCATGCAGAAGTTCTCGTTGTACTCCAGAGCCAGGGCGTCCCTCTCGGCGGCGGTGCCGCGGCCCGCTTGCCCGATGAACTGCGGCTTCCTGCTGTCCACCGAGCGCAGGAACTCGCCCAGCTTGTCGCCCCTGACGTACACGTCGTCGTCCGCGCGCATGAACCACTCGAACCGGTCGCCGTACTTCTCGTACATGTACAGCAGCATGAGGAACGACTTCTTCTGCGGCGGGTAGCTGTCGTCCACGAAGCGCAGCGGCACCAGCGGCAGCCCCGGCGCCCGGGACACCTCCGAGCTGAAGAACGCTATCCTGCCGGGCAGGTCCTGGCCCCACGTTTCGTACACGGCCCTCGCGCGCGAGTCCAGATACTGCTCGGCCGTCATCACACCCACGAACACTAGAGTCCTGTTCGAGTTCTCCACCGTCTCGTCGGCTCTCAGGCCGATGGTGGCCAGCGGGTCCGGCTCCGCGTACAGCTTGGCCGCGTCCGAGCACGCCTGTATGGAAGTCCTGGTGGACGTCCTTAAGCAGAGCTTCAGGAAGACGCCCAGGGTGACGCCGGCGACGACGCCGGCCACCAGGTGCATCCACCTGCTCCTGCGCGGCATCCTCGCCGACTGTTAGCGACCGCGGCCCGCCAGGAACGCGGACATTCCACGAATAGACAGACTACTTACTCTCTGCCCTACCGTCGAGCAGACATCGGCCGGTTCCCGATCACATGGCCGGCGTCGGCGCGTCACACGAAATCGGTCCACTATCGCGGCGTCGCCGGGTATCGGATTCGCAGATGTTATCGGTGCGGGCGCGATGCGTGCCGTGCATTTTACGCGGGCCGCCAACACACGAGCGACTCGTGCGCCGAACGCGGTGCAACTGGATCGGCCGGCTCAAAGCAAAACTCGGGCAGCGGTAATTCGGCCCGTCCGCAGATCGGGCGTCTATCTCGCTCGCACTTGAGGCCTGCGCTACGGCCCTCTCTGTCGCGGATCGTGAACTTGTCCCATTCATCGGCGGCCGAGCGGCCGGCGGCGGAGAGCGGAGACAGACAATGGCCGAGCTCTGTCTACCGGCCGGCGAGTTTCGTTACTTGCAAGTTGCACGTTTCACGGAGAAATTAGACTAGACGGTCGCTATTAACGATACCGACGATTAAAGTCTGATGCCATAGCGTGCTCAAAGACCATTTATATAATATTCATAAAAATCTGTCATTTATTATAATCATATATATTTATTTATTATACGTCTTGATTACATTGTAGATGATATTAGGCTTATTAGGAAACCAACACGATATCCTTTAATTTAAATTAACAAAAATGATTATGTTCCGTTACGTGAACATAGTCAATATTAAAAAAGAAATGGCTTACTTCATAACATAATGGAATCATACATTGAGGAATTCTTATAAAAAAACTTACAGATATTTATTATATATAATTTAATTTTCTTTCTTAGTGATACACATGACTGACGAAGTACGTTCATTCCGAATTCTAGGTCTGTGTTTTGTAAAAAGAGCAACTTAGATAGTCGAACGAACAAAGCCCTAGAAACCTTATAAAGATTATATGACCTTTCAACATGGTAAGAGCCGTGGCACCATTCACCCCTCATCACTACACAGTACAAAACAAAGTCGTCCAGCTGTCTGTCTGTCCCTATATATGCTTAGATCTTTAAAACTACTCAACGGATCTTGATGCTGTTTTTACTAGATAGAGAGATTCACGAGGAAGGTTTATATGTATAATACATGGCACCCGTGCGAAGCCGGGGCGGGTCGCTAGTTCTAAATAATGCAACTGATCAACGTTCAAACGTGAGGCGGATGCTAAGAAAATCTTTTTACAATTTGTTGTGTCTTATTACGATCGGTTGTTTGGCGCTGTGAGGAGGCCTGTGAGGAAACCTAATTGTTTAGTTTGACATCATGGTTGACGCAGTGGCGATCCACGGTCGGACATTTGTGGGATCCACAAGGTACTGTCTTAGGGCCATGCAGCAGCCCCGGCTGTTGCACGAATGAGCAGGCCCGTCCGGGGAAGTACCACGACCTCACAGAAGACCGGCGTGAAGTGGAAGTGTTACACTGTGCGTTTCTTCTGGTGAGTGAGGTAACCTAAGCCCATTTTATTACAAGATGGCAACACCTCACTTAAGATGAGGTGAACCACCTATTCTTTACTTTAAAAAAACATCCGTGATTCGCTACTGATGCCGAGATTTTGCCCAAGTGTAGTTTAAAAAAAACAAGAAATATATCGATTAATCGTGTATGAACAAAGAATCTGCGCCCAGTCTGGGTTGTTGTTGTTGAGGGAGATTACTTTGCCCCACTGATGTTGCGAATTTTCAAAGTCGATAAATCTCTTCTGTTCTATCTTGCAACAAAGCAAAAGAACCTTCTTCTGTAGCAGAAGAGGACTGCGCCGCGAACTGGCACATAAAAAAGGACACGACATGCTGAAATCAGAACAACAATTTTAGAGCGCACCAATATTTACCTATTTGAGAATCGAAACCACATTAATGCAATCCAATCGCTTGCCATTAGTTCAGATTAGCCGCTTCCAACATTACCATAACGTGTCTTTTTTTTAAATTGGATTACAGGATATTTTACAAACATGTAAGGATGTTTTACAAACACAAGTTTCACGTGTACAAACACCCAGGTGCGAAACAACTATCTGTGGGTCACACAAATAGTTGTCCCGTGTGGGAATCGAACCCACGAGCCCCGACGCCGAAGCCAATTCCTTGGCAAGTGCGCCACGGAGTCACCTTTCATTATTTATATATCAGGCAAGGAGTTCTTCGCACAAAAGCAGCCACAAGTGCGTCGCTTCACGAGAATATACAAACAAGAGCATGTCTTTCGAAGTAGGTTAGGTTAGCTCATGAACGCCTAAACCACAGAAGCTGAAGCAGTCGCCGTGACCGATAACGGTCAGGAAGTAGTAATTACGCCTCCGGTTTTTTTATGTGAAATAGTGGCAAACGAGCTGGCGGTTCACTTTATGTTAAGTGATAACCGCCGCCCATAGACATTTGCAGATCCCCGGAACAGATGCGTTGCCAGCTTTGAATGAAGTGGGCCCCGGCTACCTCACTCACCAGACGAAACGCAGAAGTGAAACACTTCTACTTTACCACGGTCTTCCGTGAGGTCGTGTTACTTACCTTACTTACCGTGGCCCTACCACAGTTTAAATCATCGGCACAGTTACGCAATTCCCCCACGAGAAGGAAAACTGAACCTTAGGTGAACATATTCAGTACATCGGACCGCGTATTTCGTAAAAATTGTCAAATCCTAAAACTACATTCGCTAACGGCTACAAAACCACGATTACAAACATGCAACGGTTTGTGGCAGCCTCAATCGCAAACGCACGCGTGACCCACAAACTCGGTTTACCAAACAAAATCCCATAACACGTAAGTCAATGCCGTTCAAACAATACGCTATATATAACTAAACTTTGATGTTTCACTTCCGAAGAAAGAATTAGCTATGATTTCCAATTCTCAAATTAATGGAACTAAAGGTAAAACTGGCGGCAAGAAGTACTTTCGCTTTCATTTACTGTTGTAATGCTAGAACCCCCTTTCCATTAAATGTAACTACATTAAAACAAAAGTGTAGACAATACACTGCTTCTCAGTTTTCTCTCTTTGATTACAGAGAAGTGAGATAAATGATTAATGTAACGTAAACGTAACGTGTCTTTGCGTGATTCAATGGCAATACGCCGTAATCAGAGAAAAGAGAAAGTAATTTAAGTCCTAAGAAAGCAAAAAATCTTTGGTGCACAAAAGTTCCAACATCAACCTGGTCGGGGTTAGTATGTAAGTGTCTGAGTTAATAGAATTATATGTAAATATTAGTATGAATCCTTAATCTCCTCAGTATATAACATGAACATATAAATATGTTATTATTACATATACTCTATATCATCATCATCATCATCATTTCAGCCTGTTTGAGTCCACTGCTGAACATAGGCCTCCCCATAGACTGCCATGAAGTACGATCCTGAGCCACCTGCACCCATCGACTTCCCGCACATTTGCACAGGTCGTCACTCCATCTAGTGGGGGGTCGTCCTACACTGCGATGGCCAGTACGCGGCTGCCACTCGAGACCCTTCCTTCCCCAAAGGTTATATATATAATCTATATATATACTCATAATGGGCTTAATATGTTAATATTATATACATATAAGTATTTAATATTAACATAATAAGCCCATTACAATATGATAACGTCGCATTTTGAAACAGTATCCGCTGTCATCACGAACGGACACTTTTTGAAGTGAAAACAGTATTTTTCCGTTACGCGCCATCTTTTTTTTATCTTAAAATGTTCCTCTAACGCCATCTAGTGTTTTTAGGGGGTTTTATGTCGTCTTTATGGCTTTATGGTTTTTGCTTGACGTAGCAATATAGTTCCTTATATCATATATATATATATGTTATATTAAAGTGATCAGCAAAATCAAAGGGTTTATTTTAATTCTAATTCTAAAATGTAAACAATATATTTCGTATTTCAGTTACCATAAGCCATTAATAACACAAAATAATTCTATTACAATTAATGAAATTCATTAAATAATCTTTGTAGTAATGACAGTGCTTCCTCTTCTCGCCACCGCCCACCGTGACCTGACTGCGCCCCTTCCACCGAAGACACAATCTGAAGCTGACCGATGATGCTCTTCGAAACCTCGATCGGCTCTTGGAACTTGCGGTTGCGACGTCGATCCAACGTCCGCAAGTTCGGTTTTCCAAAAAAACTTCACTCACAACACTCGCGCGCGGGTCGAATGTCTGCCTTCTACTCACTGGCTGACTATTCGGCAACGAAGGACCATGTACAAATTCAAAGCGGTTGTATTTTGGGTCCGTGAGGTTAATTGTAATTACAACGGTCAAACCATAGTGTGTTTTAATTTACTACTAACGCCACCTATGTATTACAAATAAGAAACTAAATATTATACAAAGCTAAAATGAAATAATTGTAGAATTTGTATTTATGTTTATGATAATAAAAGCCTTTTATTAAACTTTATCTAATTTAACTTTATTTAACCAATTTCTGTAAAGTTGCATATAGTAATTTTTTTTTTTTAAAATAACGTCATAAAAAAGTTTCACTTCTTACGAGTGTACGCTAGTACACGCACCCATTTTTTTTATTTAGTTTGTCGGAATCTTGGAAAGCTTCAAAGCGTGACCCAAACACCGCTCTACAGTCATAACGTAGGTACACCATAACTTTCTCGAAGATTCGTTACTACACAAATCTGCATTTCTATATACATATTATGCTTATATGTATTAACAATACCTTAAGCGACACATACGTGTATTGGTTGTTTTAATGAGTAATATGTAAACCAATCATACACAGTTAAAAGACTGTTTTTACCTATTGTATCATAACAATATCTTCATTTAACAGTATGAAGTCTGAGAATAAAACTTCAACTTTACATGGTATTAAAAGTTATAATTACAACTAAAATATGTTTCCCTTCGCTTACAGTTCAAATAATAATTTAGCCTACCATAAAACAATAAACGACATATTTATTAGATTGTAAAAATTTTATTTGATTACTTTATCCTAAATTACTATAAGGAAAAAGACGAAATGGTCAATTGGCCGATAGTGAAGTTTCCGAGAAATTACATTACAACTTAATTTAGGAAGTTGTTATATTAATACTATCTAATCATAAAGTCCTTTAAATTTTAACAATTTAATTTTAACATATACAAATACTTTTAGGACATGTGTAGAAATTGACGAAAGATAACGTGAACTGATCATAAAACTTTAAAAATTTCAATAATGATAGCGGAATGTTTAACAATTATGGATACATGCCTACATAATGTAAACAAGACAATGCATTATACATTTTCTTATAGATTATTTCCCTATTCAAATAATGCACAAACAGTGTCGTCTAATGACAATTTTAACATACGGAAGATTGGTATCCATTAAAATAGTTATAAGACAATGTATTTATTTCACCTTTGATGATATAATTAATTACGAAGTCATGTTTCTGTACAAATTACTACAGGTTGAAGTAAACTGACTCCTTATAACGAAATTTTCCAAACTGGACTCGTTCGGCAATTTTGTAATCATCCTAAGATTTTAAAAAATCTGTCCCGAGTCAAAAGTAAATAAAATTTCCAAAATAAAAGTAGCCTAAGTTACTCCTTACTTATTTCATGAGCTATCTGACAGTGAAAGTCCCATCAAAACAGACAGACAGAGAAAAACTGTAAAAATGTTATTTTGGTATATATGTACCGTGTATACATCTATATGCATTTGGTAAAAAGCGGTTATTTTAATATTACAAACAAACACACCAATTTTATTTATCTGTATAAATGTATAGATTATTAAAGTAAGGAGGCAGCTTCTATAGCTCCTTATACGGAGAAGTACCAGGGCCTTCCCCCACAAGATTGATTTAAAGAGAATTTACAATATTCTTGCGTTTCGTCAGTCGAGTGAAGTATTAACGTCACTCACCAGATGAAACCCAATTGAGAGCCTCCCGCCGCGTCGTAAAGTTTGGATAAAAACATTACCCTCGTAATCGGACAAACAGATATAAAATCGATTTTGGGTCGTGAAACCTAAACCCACTATTTGGGATGTTTGATTAAAATAGTGTTGCGAAGTCGGATTGAAGAAACAAAATTTTGAACTGAATTTTTAAAGTTTTTTTATAGTATTGTTTTCTTGATTTTACGCGAATATTATACATATTAAATGAAACTACTACGTCTGAACGCTGGAAAGGGTTCGAAACGTCGGGAATTTAAATCAAAATAAAAATCGCGATAAAATCCGTAAAGTAGTTTCATTTAATATGTTTTTTATAGTGCTAATCTCTGCACTTAAGATTGAACATTAAAAGATGTAGAAAAAGGACGAAAAGATTGTCGCCGCTGTGGGAATCGAAACCACGTCTTCGGCATTCGCGGCCTGACGCTTTAGCCACTAAGCTAATTTGTTGATATATTTCTCGATCACGCAGCGATTTTTCGATTCCCACAGCGGCGACAATCTTTTCGTACTTTTTCTACATGTTTTAATGAATTATTACAGTTCAAATTTTCATTTCTACAATATTTTAATTTATACGATATGGAGTTTTTTATACTAAGTTTTCAATACATGTAAACCTATCCTATTAGAATAATTTACATTCTGTTCACCCTACTACCGATGGAGGATAATGTTTCGTATTGAAGTATATTTCTTTGACACGCACTGTAGCCTACGCTGTTTGGCTGTTTATAACATGTAAATTCGTATGAATTGTAAGAGACGCATTAAGTACAGTATTTAATACAGTAGACCTTTAGAATTCGGCCGCCCGTCAAGTCCGGTGCCCTCCCTTATCCTC